TCATTTAATATCCATTTTCTTTGAGCAGTAGGTTTAACATTATTTTTAATTAATATTAAATATATGTCTTGTGCTCCTTTACTATTTTTAAGTATTAACTTAAGATTGATAGGTATATTTGGAAAGATAACTGTTTTTTCTGAAGTAAAAATGTGATGATTTTTTCTTATAAAATGATGCACAGCATTCTTTAGGCCTTGGTATGTCAAAAAATTAGTATTTATGTTATATTTTTCTTGAAATTCTTCAAAGTGGTAGAGTGATCCATCCTGTTTAATAATGTTATATACAAATTGTACTCCCTTTTTAAACCATGAATTTTTGAATGTAAATTTTCTGTCAATTTTAATTTCACTATTGAACCACAGAGGGTTTTCACGTAAATTTGTATTGTATATATTGCTAGAGATAATAGTATTGTACCATGCTTCTAAGACATCTTTCCAAAAGAGGTTACTACAACGTTTAGATTCTTCTTTCAATTTTTCAAGCCCACAGTTAGCTAATGTTTCTTTATCAAAATAAGTTTCTAAAATAAGAGCCCAATTTCCTTCTTCTTTATATACCCGTCTTAATTTCAAGCAGTTAACGTGCGGATGAATACATCGCTGTGTAAAAATTCCGCGAAATGTCAGGTAAAGGTACAAGACAGATCGGACGAGTTAGAAAAATTGAAAAGCGAAGACCAGCCTCAATTCATAGAATGTCACTTACCTACATATTCACTTTTTTTTTTTTAATACAACATACCCAATAATGTTTACCAGTAAAAATGTTCTTCATAGATCTGTAAATATACACATGAACTATTTGCAGGCACTATTTGATGCAGTAGTGGTAGCCGCAGAAAACGGCGGTAAAAAGGCCCCAATACAGACTCAGCTGGGCTACTCCAAGGAACAGGCAGACGCCATACAGAAACTCAAGTCAGCCAAGTCAGATTACGAGCGGCTTGGTCTGATACCTGGAGCTACAAAGTAAGTGTCTAGGAGTTTTAGGAAAATAAATAATTATTTTCAGTGAAGAATGATAAATATATACAAATCTCATCAAATATTACCATTTAAAGGAAGAAATATCATAGCTGTCAACCCTCCCTCATTAGGAGGGTGACTCCCTCATTTTTCCCGAAGTTAAACAAATTCCCTCAAAACTCCCTCATTCAAGTCCAGACTCACACAAATTCAAAACCTACATCCTGTTGTTGTCAAATGATCTCCTAGTTACTCCAGGGTGTGTGTAATGACCATAACAGGTGTGTCTGAATCAAACGAATGTTTTTTTGAGTTATTTTGATACATAAAAAGGGAGATAATTGAGCAAAGCAGTTTCAGTCACATTTCACATACTTTCTCCCTCCCTGAAAATTTGGAATGAGGGAGATTTCCCTTTTATTAGAAGCTTAGTACAGTTGCCTTATTGTTCAAGGAGAATTTCTCATAACAATAACCTTTACCTTTTCCAGGGAGGATGTCAACCGAGCGTACAGGAAGTTGGCCGTCCTCCTTCACCCGGACAAGAGTGTGGCACCAGGAAGTGAGGAGGCATTCAAACTGTTGGTAGCCTCGCGTACGGCTCTACTGAAACGCTGCTAGCAGGAATGAGGGCGGGTGCCTGTTTTGTTTACATGGTTGGAACAGCTATATCACAAGTGAATGGTGTTTTGGAAGGAAAACTGACCAGCAAAAAACTACTAGATATAAACTTGGTCATACTTATCTAGAAAAGTTTATCAGACCACTCCAGTGAAACCTGCTTTATCTGACACCCTGTGTATAGCACAACATATTGGTCTGATTAGGCATTATGTCAGAATTTACAGGTATTCTCTGAAAATTAGGATTACAGCATTATGTATGATGAGACAGTTTATGGAAATTGACTCCGGGTCAGATTAGGCAAGTTTTATCATCAATATATATATACAGCTCCATCATTTCACTTCGTAAATCATCTGTAGTCAAACTTAAGGCTGTGATTTTTCTACATATCGCAGAGGTTATATTTATTAACGCATTCGGATCTTAACTCATTCACCCCTGAAATTTCATAATGAACTATTCCAGCCTTTAAATTGGAAGAGTTAAATGCGTCTTCAGGGGTGAATGAGTTAAAAGGCAGTGTTATGTCGGGTTTGGACAGGACAAATTCACTGGGTATTTTTCATTGCTATCCTAGAGTTTTGCATCATCACTATGAAGTAGCTAGAATAACGACTACTTGGTGGCCGAGTAACACGTACTGACGGTAAGTGACCACAGTACCTAACACAATGTTGAGAAAATCTCTATCAATGGTGTGAAGGAATTCTGAACCGGGAGTCCGAATAACTTAGACGTTAAATTAGATTGTGAGGAAGGTAACCAGGAACGGTTAGGAATAAAATGTTGAGGAATTCCATGGAAGTGTAGTGTATAGAAGACATATGAGTCATAAATGTGTTTAATACCTGAAGGATTCAGACATTCATATGGAAAATAAAATATGAAATCTGATGCACAAGGAACAATGCTGTCCGAGGCCTGAAAGATAAATGCATTCCTTTGGAAAAGAAAACTTGAAAACTGCCGCAAGAAGGCCAGTGTTTTCCTGAGCATGAAGGATCAAGGTATTCCTGTGTAACATAAAACACCAACCCTGCCACTCATTCAACAGTGTTTTCATGTCTTAAACATCCGGACTTAATCCTGCAAAACATCCTCACAAGCCTTGTCAAGTGTGGAGGAACTCAAATGATCCGATGTCCGGACTGTTTGAAAATAATAGTTGTTCACAAGCTGAGATTGAGTAAGGTAAAAGATGGCTATTTTCAGAAGCAAATGTCAGCAAAATTAAAATGTGAAAAATGTGAAATGTGAGATATTTTAAAACTATGATTTTATTGAGATTGTGTAAATTGAAAAGTGTTAAATTATGTGTGTAAGATGTCAAATGAGATTTTTATATGTTGAATATTTGCATCTGTTTGCATCTACCGGTATGTTTAATGTTTGAAAATGAAAATGTATTCAAATTGTGTATATGTGTATGAGAAAAGCATGAAAAGTATGACATGTTTGGTCAAAGGGGCAAGGTACACACAGGTCCTGACACCCTCAAGGTCTGTGTATACATATTAATGTATACATAAATCATAAAACATAGGTCAAATAAGTAATATCAACGGTAAATTCTCATATAACACTGGATCCTTGTAAAGATATGTTTGTAGGATACTTAAAATTACTTAAAATTGGTATATGGGATCAAGGAGTAATTCCATCAATATAGACAATATGATGTTGTCAAATTTTCGGAGCAATCCGCTCCTTTATCAAGACACAGAAAAACACAGAACAATTACATTACATAAAAACAAAATCGAAATATTCTTTTTGAAAACAAAAAGCCCTCTACTAACGTACACCTATAAGGCAAAGTTAACATTCTACAATATACATACCACAGCATCAAAACATAGTACACATATAGGCACGGTGGGGTTGGGATCTGTACATGTCATGCCCCTTTGTGTATACTGGTTGGGGAGCTTGTGTGAAAAGAGGATATTAGAAATTCAGTGAAAGGATAAATATGCACTTCAATATTTCTCTATCATATTTATATAAAGTCTGATTCAAAGGATGTGACTAACTTAATAAATGTAGTGTTGAATGGGCTTGTATTGTTTTTGTAAAACATTGATAATCTACCAGCTGATTTCATCACATCCACATACATGTGGCTGTTTGGGATGTATTTTGGATATGGTGCTGATGTAGGTATTTGTATGTGAAAATTTTAGAGTTGGGTTTTATGTTTTACTGTATACCAGGAAATGTTCGCTCCGTCAAACTTTCGCCCTTCGCCCAAGTTAGTAAATGTTCGCCTAATGTGTATTTTACCTTCCATTTAATTCTGTTTCTTATGCTATTTACATATTATTCACTGTATTGATAGATTCAGCTTCATTACAGAAGACGAAAAAGGCGAAAATTAAACTGCAGCAACACTTCCAAATATAAACTATCTAAATATAAAGAAAATTATGCTAAATGCAAGTATGAAGAATGAACTGAAAGAGAGTATTATTAATCCCAATGCAAGGCAGTCATGATGCTTCCCTTTCTGCCACATTTGGTATTCTGTACTGTACAGGTAGCACTGTCTTGTAAACCAATCTAATGAATACAACCATATACCCCGGAACTGTCAGTGTTACCTGTACCATCAGCTGTGGCGGAAAAATGTAAACTCGGTCGCAACTGTAACCTGATTCAGCATAGTTGGTAAAAATGTGATATCAATCACGAAAAAATGAAAAATAAAATGGGAAAAAAATAGGCTTATCAAAATTATGGTAGTGTACCAATGTACTAAACATTGCCACTATAGTGTACTGTACTAGCTGGTCGATCACTTTCATGTTACATTTAGACATCAAGGAAAGTATACGCCTGATTACAAGTGAAAATGATATGGCAGAGATTATTATCATCCCCAATGTGAGGCCTCACTGCCTACTACAATAAGTAGTGTTCAATATTCTGTATCATGTCAACAATGATATTGTCACAACGGTAAACCAATCTAAAGATAGACACCATGAATGACAACTTTGAAACATTCATAATATTATCATCAGAACCAATCAAATCAAATATGAGAGACCACCTACTTGGTCTTACCAGAAAGAATGGCCTCTCTGTACAAGTGCTGATACAAAGACAAAACCAATGTCAATATGCAAAGATGGCAACAGGAACTGAGGAGGCATGGAAACAAAACAAAGCATGTTCTGAACCTCCACAAAAAAGCGGAAGTGGAACCTTGNCCACCCCCCACCCCCTGTAGTAGCTGTCATGATGTCTTCTGTTAATCCAGGAAAGTATGGAGGATACATCAGTAAAATAAAACAAAATATCTGGTTAACAGTGTATTAACTGATGTGGACTTCTTGGGTGGCTGGTATTACAGAAATATATAACCAAGAGATTTTAGTCATCTCGGCCTAAACATCTACCATAGGGCCAAAGGTCATTGATGGGTACAATATATTAAAAAGTTTAAATTATTTTTTGTCAAGTTCTAGAAAACATAACATCCTGATATATAACCAATTAGTACCTAGGTCGGAGAGCTATCAAAGATTATAAAATTGATTATTTTGTCTTTCCTTGAAGGTCAGAGGGGTCAAATATGTTGAACTCTTCCCATTAAGCTATCTATCTATATGTTATACTCCACAGAGACCAAAATGGCTTTAAAGCTATATCCAGTTCCAGAATGTCTAGGGATATGGTATTTGACTGTGTGTAGCTTGGATGGAGAACTCTCAAACATTTTCAAGTAAAGACTTTGACCTTCATTTACATTCACAGTGACCGAATCCATTAAAAATCTTGCAGCTATTTCTTTAAAGATCGATGATGGGGCATGTGATCATGATGTACCAGTAAATGGTCGGATAAGAGGGCTGTGAAGGTATTTCAAATAAATTACCTTGACATTGATTCAATATATGAAAGATCACACAAGTAAACATTTTTCTATTGAGGTCAAAGAACAACTTTGAGAGCTGACCAGGGTAAAATGATAGTGAATTTTATGCTAAAAAAAGAGAAAAAGACTACTCATTAAAAAGGTTTGCTAGAATTCATTATCATGGAAATAAGAAAATTTAAATGAAGACTGTGGTCTCTAAACAAGTATAATTTGTCAGAAAGCAGTTAGATTTTAGATTTTAGCATCCTTAACAGAAGAGTGATCAAGCATATGTTTTAAACATACCAATGGTCCCACTTCAACTTATTTGAGCTATTCCCAAAAACTACCTTTCTTTCACAAAATGCTTTTGTAGCCGATACATTTTAACAAGTATAAATAGTGATGTAATGTTATTGTGCTCAGGTAACTAAGGACCCTGTAAAAATGATATTAATTGTAAGTTACTATGGCATATGCCATGTACCAACGTTATAGACTAATTGTCAGTCAATGGTACACCTGCACTAGCTGATACACGTAAGTTGGTGCTTGACATTTTATATTTCTCCCGGGGATAGCGTCACAGGTAACAATTTCAGATCATAAATAATTAACAAATTGTTGCAAAACGATCGAACACTTGTTACCAATATTTTTTCTCTGACTGGTGGTTTTATTGTTTAAATACATGTACAATTTGTGCATTGTACACACAGGTGGTTGAATTTACTTTTGAAACGAGTTTTATTCATTTTTTATGTCAAAGTGGAGCATAACTTAATTACGATTTTACCTTTGATCACTGATCGTGAAATCTTATGAAACTAGAGAAGACAGAATTTGACTTTCTGAATTTATATATTGTGCCAACCGTAGACAGAGTTATGGCCCTTTGTTCATATTTGATACCACAGAATATAACTTTTTTACGTTCTCGCCCTCATTAACTAAAATTGTGATGCGTGCGTACATGGATCATGGCAAGGTAGAGTATCACATACTAAAGTCTATATTTTTTCAAAATGTTTCAAAGCATTGGCAAAGGAAGGTGATATCTATAGGATACAGACCTTTTTAAGAAATAAGAATTGAAGTACAAATTAAGTATGTTTTCCTTTTCAACACGTCCTAAATTGTTTACATTTTCAGAGAAATATAGTAACGATTTTCGTTTTCTTTTCACTTTTCAATATTTTGATACATTTTGTCGCGAGATCGCATTGATTGTGTTCCATCTGTCCTAAACAACTCCTGCTAATTTAGATAAGTACTAAAGACACTTAAACTTTGACATCACCATTTCTCAAAAAGCACCAGGGGGATCTTTATATAATTTCTCAGTAGGTTCACCACGGTCCTTAGTCATGCATTACCAAGATGGCTGCAATGTTGCCATCTTGGATTTTGACAAGGTAAGGTTACCATTTTTATCTCATAAGTACGTGAGAGATTTACAGGTAGTTAATTAATGAAAATATCTTTACGTGGTGTGATTTGAAAATGAGATATAGGTGACATATTGAGTTATGCAGTGTTCCTTTTAAGATAATTCTAGGATGGTGGCAAGATAATAATGATGATAAACATATTTTAGGGGAACTTTTTTTTTGTGTGATGATGAAAGGCTAACTATTGACATTCATTTGCAAAAATGAAAATTACACTTCCATTAGCCACCATAAGATCTCCGTCATCATTACTTAAATAACCCGTATGTTTCTCAAGAACTAATAATTGATCTTTCTAAAACTATATAGATATATTCCTTGTTGTGCAAGAATAATGTTGGAATTGATTGCAATGAGGAGCTGGATGGCTGCTAACAAATTCCCTCTCCCTCCACCCTACTCCTCTTCTGATCAAACCTAAAATGAAACACAAGAAACTTCAGAAATTTTCATAACTAAAATCCTCCTCCTCGTCGTCTATACAATCACAGCCAGCTCATGGTGTGATGATGATGATGATGATGATAGATGATGACGATGATTGGTGTGTGTAGGTGGGTAAGTGATGAATATGGGTTCATATATATATATATCTGTACATAATGGTAAAATAAAAGATGTCCATCTTACAATGATAGGTACCAGTTATGTCTGGGATCTTTATTTTTACAAATAAAATTGAGTGAAAGCTAAATAATGTAAACGTTCTGCTCGTGTTATTGGACCACGTGGCCATTCCATCCGTCCTCTGCTCGTGTTATTGCACCACATGGTCATTCCATCCGTCCAGGCCTCATCCGTGATACTAGAAGTCAAAAGAATGATAAGAAACGTGCCCCAAACAAAATGGCAAATGTGCTTATAAATCGGTTTATAACGTTACAAAATCTTAGGCTACAACAGGTCAGTCATTCTTATACTGGTATTTCGTGTAAACCGTTCCAAAATACATTTCAGCGAGGAGGTTACGGCTAGCCTTCAGGGCAGCAGAGTTATCTAATTCATAGTCCTAAAACTTATTAAGGAAACACCTATTTGAAATTCACTTTTGTTAATTTTATCCATTTAGGAAAAGTTATAAATAACTAATGAGGGTGCTCTTCTGTAATGAAGTAAATAGACAGTCCAGCAGTGTATTGTGTTGACACACGTTGTATATGAAGAATCTTTTAATAGCGCGATTTGAAGACCTACGTATACCATAGCAAACGTTTTGCGTGAACTTTGAGTATTTATTTGAACAAATTTGGCAACATTGAACAGGGATTTAAATGACCTAAGGAAGTGTACACCTGTCAGGTCTGTAGATGAGGATCTCTTCAATTTTACATGCGTTTGAACCGATGTCAGAAAACCAAAATCAATTGTATTTATATAAAAATAATAAATGTATGATGTGAAATCTACTTAACAACGTTATTGTTAGATGTAACTAATGTATCGTTTTTTGACGAAATGTGTGTGGTTCAAATGTATAAATGTATTATTCCACAAACGTGTCAGTCAATTAATTTAACACATATTTAGAAGAGAACATCGTTTTTAACAATACAATTACTTGACAATTGGAATTGGTAAGTAATTTTAGAATTGAGCTTTACCACTGAAGAATGGAATTCGAATGAATGAAAGAAACAATACGAACTTGTAATGAATGAGAAAGGCTGAAGACTGAAGGTATTTCACATAAAGGACTGTTACTGTGAAAGGGGTTTAGGTCGCCGCGCGTGGTCACGTGAT